ATTCGTATTTTTTCAAATTTTAAGCCGCACAACTGGATATCTCGTTACCAGCCGGCTGTGGTATTAAGTTCAAGGTTAAAAGAAAAATAACCGTCCTATAATATTTGGAAAAGGTGGGTTTTATTATGCCTAAGTTTACAGACAACTTAGTATAACTTCACTTATTACTTACGGACTAATGACACATTTGCAAAGAAGTACTCTGTAACTGTTTCACGGCAGCAGTTGTCGTATTCCTCCAAGGCAATCCCGTAAGGTAGTTTTTCTCCTCGGTTCAGAAGCAATATCTTTTTGTAATGTGGCTGATATGTCCTGGAGGAAAAGAAGAAGTCTCGAGGGAAGCAACTGAGATCGTCTAATGAAAGCTCTTGGGTGACGCTTTTTGCACAATGGACAGTGTTTGCTGGGTACACAAAGTACATCACATCGGCGGAACTGTTTCTTGTTTGAAGAGCATGCACTGTAAACTGATGGACCCATCCAATGTGAGCTGGAATTCTGTCCAATTTGAAGTCTCTACTATCTTCCTTTATGAAGGCGTATAGCGACTGGGTAACTGGAAAAAGAGGAAAAAAAAATACAAATGTCGTTTGCAATAAGTTTTATGAGTTTGATCCGGGGCCATGTTTCAGTGTCAGCATATTGGGATATTTCAAAAATGCAGTGGTAAATATACTCGTGTACATACCAAGTCGTTCACAGGATCCATTTCTGAATGCGATGTTATCTTTGGCTACATCACTTGCCCAGGAAACGCCCCTTACTCCCTCCATTATAATCTATAAAGATTAAACCCTGAAGGTTAGTTAGTGGACATATTCTAGTACGCTCGTTGGTAACTAGTCTAAACTAGGCTAAAAAGAGCTTACGCAAAAACAACAATGCAACAGTATACTGACCAGAGCACCACATTGTGGGAGTAACTGCTAAACCGTACGTATTTCTGATTGCGTTAAAGCACTAACGTAATATGTTGCTAAATTAACAGTGATATCCTTGTTATCAGAATCCTTTTACAAAAACCTGCATAGGTGACGTCAAGCGTTGCACTTTACAGTCATTCAAATTCATTGCAGTACTAAGAACTATGCTTATAACAGTGGGATAATATAATATCAATAAACATTGCGCCCATCAATCTAGGAATTCGAAGACTGGATAATCTTGGTTAATTTTAAATCGGTTTTCTGAAGGTTTTGTTGCAAGGTGTTAGAGTTCCTGATGCATGTAGAATTGATGTTGAAGTAGAGCAAGAGACGAGTGCACCCCCTCCTAAAAAAAATCCTGCATCCGCCCCTGAAATAATAGAAAGTTAATTCACAGTGTTCTCCTAGTTTCGTATATCCTGTCATGTACTCCTGCTTGCGCAAAGATGACTGATGGCTTAAAATCTTTTATCTAAAAGCAAGTAAAGGTAGTAGTTTGATTCTTTTGTTATCTTCCATGTAGGCATTGTACAATCTCTTCTTTTATTTTACTTTACTTGGTTAACAGATTCTGCATC